TCTAGACTTAGTCTCATGTTGTATCTGCAGCCACAAGAGGTGGGTCCTTCATAAAGGCCATAGGTTTCTACACATTTAAAGAAGTGAGTAGTTTATCAGGGCTCCTGGAGTCCCAGGGATGAGGTGACTGGGCTCGTGCTGGACTGTGCTGGTCCTGAGGAAGGGCAGCAGCAGTGCTGTGAGATGACTGGGTCTCCAGGCTGCCTGAGGTTTCCTGCAGGCTGGCCCATTTCCATGCTGCGTCATTTGGTGGAAGGAAAACAAGCTTTCTGAAGCAGCAGGTTGTTAAACACAGGCTTGCATACAGACAGACACACAGACACACACACGCGGGCAATATGTACCAGCCTCTTACCACCAGCTATCCAGAAGAGCAAGGGTTGCATCCTCTGAAATGCCAGCAAAATGATGCCTGATGTCACGCTGGTGCGAGGATGGGGCTAGAGGGGGAAGCAGCACAACAAGCAAGAACTGTCCCCACTTGCCAGCATCAGAAGCCCCTTAGGCACAAGCTCAGCAGCTCACAAATGGATCAAGTCACCAGTAGGTTGCATTATGTTGCAATAGCAAGTGGCTTGAAACAACAAAGGTCTGTTCTTCACGGTGCTCCATGTCCAATGCTCGCCAGCAGGGGAGGCTCTGCCCATGATAGTCACTCCGTTACCATCTTGAACATCGCCAGTTCCCATGTCAGAGAAGAGTGCTTCTGAGGATCTTATACTAGCAATCACATGCCTTGGGCTGGAAGTGAAGCATGTCCCTTCTATTCACAACTCACTGGCCAGATGGGGTCACATGGCCCCATCTGCCTTAGGATCCCAGTTTGTTATATTCCATCCAAGGTGGTCCTTTGCTCTAGGTCAGAGCCTAACTAGGAATGTTGGGCTGGGACAGAACCAGAACACCCCTGGTCACCTCATCTCCTGCCAAACTCTGAGAATTCCTGACCTTCCTCTAAGGCTATGCCCAAGATGCTGGCTGAAAGGCACCTGTGGGTCAGCCATGCAAGGTGCTGTCACCCAGGGTCCCCTCATGGTGATCGTAGAATGCAGGGTCTCCTCCACTGGGCCACTCACGCTGGACGTGCATGGCTCCTCTCACTTCCCTTTCCTGCTCTCCTCCACCTCATTCTGCAAAGCTCCTGGGCTGTCTTGCCCCACTCCAGCCTGGGCTGGCCCTTCCTTGCTCTCCCTCATTTGACAGCAGGCTGGATGCTCCTCGCAGGCTGGGACCAGAGCTCCCGAATCATCCACAGCGCACTCTTCTCTAATTGAAATCAATCGCGTTGTCCTTGGACCTCAGCCCACATCTGTCCTGGGTTGGAATCAAAATCCAAAGGAAAAGGCATTTAGGGTGGTGAGTCCAATCCCACGTTTCAAGTTTTGGCAGGTGCTTGTCCCCTCGTTTGTATGCGTCCTGGAACATTCAATGCAGGCTGCCCATGCTGTGTCCTCATTTCTTGGCATGTTGCCCAAGGGACCCAGAGAGTTCAGGCTCAGGTCCCTGTCGACATGCACTATGGATTCACAGGTGCACACTTCACTCCTCCTCCCTTTGGGTCCAGGGCACCGAACTACCATGGATGCTGGCAACCCCTTCATGGTGCCCTGGGTCAGGAGGGGCTGTGACAGCATCCTGGGTGATGACAGTTTCTTCTCAGCCTCAATCTGACTTCCATTGGCTTCTGTTGGGGGAGGGTGTCATTTTAAGCTCCCACTTAGGGAAATTGCCCATCATCCCTGGCGTCCTAGCTGGTAGCACTCATTTCCAGGAGGCAGACGAGAGATGCTGCCCCATTGTGCAGAACAAGGGGAGCCCAAAGCACACCTGCCTCTCCTTTCCCTGGGCATCATGCCAGTGCCAGGGGCTTCTGGGCAGGGCCCACTGAATGTCTTTGTAGGAAGGGGTCTGGTTTGGACGCAGGAACTGACTTTCCCTCTCCTGGTCCCCTGGAGGGGTCTGCCATGATGTCAGCCTATCAAGGACATCTCATTTCCATTCAACCTGGCATCCGGGAAGTGCCTTTTTCTTTTCAGCACACAGGGCCAGTATTTAACATGACATTGGCCGGCTGCAGTATTGAGTTAACTATAAAAAGAGATGATCCTTCTGGACAGAATCACTATCCACCAGACAAAATGATTAAATTTACAGCTTGATTGGTACTGATCAATATAAATGAAATGTGAAACAACTTAGTGTATCTACCAGGAACAGCAGTCCCCAGAGTGCCTTCTCACAGGCACCCCAGGAATGGACGCCACAGTGGGGTCTCTGCAGTCATGTGAGATTGTTCTCCACAAGTCTCCTCCTTCCTTCCCCTCAACTAAATACAGGTATGCATCACTAAGCATCAGTTCAGGCAATGTCCCACTGCATATAGGTCCGTGGACCCCTAAGGCCATATAATACCCACCTGCTTTGGTTCTCTAGTGCCCCGCTAACAGAAAATCCCACAGGTGCATGCAATCAACAAATGGGATTTATTCTCTTACCATTTCTTACTGTTTAGGAGGCTCGAAGTCCAAGTCCGAAGTGCCACCTCTAGGGGCTGGGTGAAGGTCCCTCGCCCTTGGGCTTCAGCTCTGCCTCTTGTTCCTGGCCCACAAAAGCTGGAGGCTTCTCTTAACTCAGGCAGCTACTGGCTGCTGAGGCTGAAAAACCCAGGGCTGACCAGTACAATGGCACAGTCCCCAGAAACAGTTCCAAGATTGGCAGGGCCAGCATGGCAGGCTGCTGAATGAAGACTCGACTAAATGCAGGCTCCAAGCATGCCAAAGAGCTAGAGACCTTTTGCAAAGCTTCTTATATATTGGAAGCAAACTACATCCCTAAGGCAGCTATTCAGCTGCTCAGAGTAGAATTCACCATAGAGTTGATTATCAGTCCCATCATGGGGAATAACTACATCCAGCTGCCCAGCCACTCAAAACCAAGTTGACACACAACATTAACTACCACACCACCAAACCAAACCCACTGCCACTGAGTACATTCCAACTCATAGTAACCTCTCTAGGATTTCCAAGGCTATAAATCTTTATGGAAGAAGACCACCTTATCTTTCTCCTAGAGAGGCAGGGGGTTTGAACTGCCAACCTTTTGCTTAGCAGTCCAATGCCTTAACCACAGCATCACCAGAGCTCCTTAAGGTTATAATGGAGTTCAGAAATTCTGATGGGAGAACAGACAAGGTAGAAGAACTTTGCTAAGTATGGAGACTTGATCTGTCTCTCTCTAGCTCTCCCACTGCATCTGCCCTGACCTGGGGGTGTAGGTGGCGGGGTGGGTTGCAGGTGCACATCTGCTTGTCCCGCCCTGCTCACTTCAGGCAGGGACTGTGCTGATGCTGCGGGGATGCCCCTCTGAGGCTCCTGCCCCACTCAGCCTGGGCGCACTTGGCATGAAACCCAGGTCCAAGGCTTCTGTGCCACTTCCGGTGGCCATCACAGGGCATGTGGGAGAAGGAACAGCAAAGGAGGCTGGTAGAAGAGTCAAGGTGGAAATGAAGGAGAGGCTGGCAGGGCTAGAAGAGTTTAAAGTCCATTAGCAGTGGCAGGAAGGCAGAGGGGGAAGGAAGGAAAGGAAGGGCACCAATGGTTGTGGGATGGTGTGGGGTGGGGGTTAGGTGCCAGTCTTGGAGACCACGAAGGACTGGTGGCAGAGGAATCAAGGTCTTCATGCAATCCCTTTCTGTGGCTGCTGTGGCAATGGTCCCAGATCAGTGACCCTCCTGCATGCCTCTCTCCTGTATACAAGATTTGCATAATGTCCAAATCACATAATATCCTGTCAGAACATACCACTGCTGTTAAGTGACACATACCTGCATAGCAGTGCCCTGTTGTATCAGTCAGGATAGGCTGGGATATGCTGCAATAACAAGTACCTTGACCTAATCATGTTTCATGTCTAGTGCTGGCCAGTAGGAGAGACTCTGCCCATCCACAGTCTCTTGGGTATCCAGGCTGGTAGATCAGTTATTCTCTTGAATGTTGCCATTTGTCATGTCAGAGGAAAAGAGTGCTTCCATTCACAACCCACTGGCCAGAGTTAGTTACATGGCCCCACCTGCCTCAGCTCTACCACTGTGTCAGGCAGGCCGAGAGCTGGAGGTATTTAATCAGTGACATCAATGACAGCCACACTTGTTTACACAGCAGGTGTATACTTCTGGCTAGATTTTAAATGAATCCATGGCATCTGGCTCTTTAATGGGACACTGTCATGGAAAGCAGTCCCCAGAGCATAAGAATTTCTTTCAGACAAGTGTAACGGTGCCAGGACCCATACATTTCAGAAGCTCAAAGCTATCTCTAGATGCACAGAGAAAGCCAATGTGGATGCCCCAGCTTCCACTGGATTCCTTCTCAAAGTAGCGGTGAAGCTAATAACAAAAAATCCACCATCAATGTAATTTCCAAGTGAATACTGCACAATTCGTTTAAACTAAGAGAGGAAACAGTAACTCTTGATTGAGATCACATTTCTTCCCAGTGGCCTCCTTTCCCTCAACACTCAGGCCTGGGAGTTCCCCTTTCCTGCCTCCATGAGACCCCCTGTCCTTAGAGGAAACCGGGGCAAGAGCTTCTGCCTATTTGGCGTGGCCTCCGTCAATGCCGTGGGCTGCCCTCCATGCTAGGCACATCGAGCCACGAGTACAGCTGCCATCAGAGCACAGACGGTCAGGGCACCCGGGCTGCTCTGAACACCAAGACTTTAACATTCATACATGGCTGAAGAAACATTATTTCAAAGTTGTTTTTTATTCAACTGTTATTCAGCAATATACAATACGGTTTATAAACAAGTGTCTGACCTTGTTTCCAATCTTTATTTAAAAATAAATATTATTGACAGTGAATTTCGATTATGATAAGATGTGTCTTTTTTTTTTAATCAAAATGTCTCAAAAGAAATAATTTAATAAAAAAAGGAAAAGCCCCAAAGGAAAAAGTAAATTTTAAAAAACAAACAAACAAAAAAGATTCTTAAACACAATAATCTACTAAAAATATGTTGCTTTGTCAGAAAGGCTTTGAGCCAACATTTTTACATATTGTCCTAAAGATAACTGCTCAACAGTTCGTGCAAAATGAAGACCTGGCGGAAGAGTTTAGAAAAGAAAAATACATGGAAGTTGAAAAATCATTGATCCCACGCACACTGCATGGTTTGAACTCCATCTTATTTGGAAACTAGATGCATTACTTTAGATGTTCTACATTTGTGTAACCTCCCCAAAAATATGATTTATTTATTTTCCATGTGGAATTTGTCATGCTTCTCTCAGTCTTTCTGTGTCTGTCTGAGGTGCAGTCCTCACGGAGGGTCTGGGCGGGCTCTGCTGAGGTGTGGAGGTGGGTGTCAGTGTCCCACCAGCAAGCGCACGAGCTTGTGCAGAGCTAACAGGAGCAGGTACAGGAGCGGGTCTATGGCATAGCGAGGGCCAGTGCCTGCAGGGAGCAAGAAGACAGCATGGTTACTGCCAGCTTCTCTAGAACCGAGCAGCCCACGAGCCCATCAGGGAGAAGTGGGCTTCCCAAGGCCTGGCCCTTTGGACCTCAGCCACTGAGCTCAGGGTTTGGTACACAGCTGCTGCCACGATAAAGCATTTGCTACTGTTGTTTTTTTACAGACCACCCATTTCAGGAGCTTACTGTGGTTGGAGGATTCCTCGGGTGGTGCAAATGGTTAAGGAACTTGGTTGTTAACCGAAAGGCTGGAGGTTCAAGTCCACTCAGAAGTGGCCCGGAGAAAGGTCTGGTGATCTACTTCCCACAACTCAGCCATTGAAACCCTACGGAGCAAAGTTCTCAAGTTCTGCTCTGACACACATGGAGTTGCCACTGACCAATATCAACTCGACAGCAACTTCTTTTAAAAACTGTGGTTAGTAACAAGGTGTGTCTGGCCTGAGGAAAGGTGAGCTGCTTTGTAGTTCTGAAGTCCAAGCCATCACCTTATTTTAACAAAAAGACAACATGCTTCTTTCCCTGTCCGCCACCCTCTACGCCGCCCCCTACCCCAATACTATGCTGTAAATTGTCTTCAGCATTTAAGGCTCAGCTTCCTCTCCTCCTCCACGATTGCACACTATTGCATTCCTTGTGTGTCCCCTCCAACTGCTTTTCCTGAACTGCACAGCCCAGCCTTTCCATGAACATCCTAATGCCTGGTGTGCGAGTCTTCTTTCCAGAACAATATTCTCAGTGCCCTCTCCACCAGGTCAGGAACAGGGTCAGATTCTGGGGTCACAGCAGGGAGCACAGAAACACTGTCTGGTACAGGTAGGAGGGCTGGGGTCACTCCCAGCTCCTTCATCAATGCTGCCACTAACCAGGCCACCAAGGCAGTAACACCTGGGACTTCATCCAGCCTCACTGGCTGTAGGGAGTACTTGCCCAACTCCCCATCCTCAGGGTCTCCATCTGTTGGAAGGTGTCTTAGTTATCTAATATTGCTGTAACAGAAATACCAGAAGGATTGTGTAGTCATGTCCTTGGGGAACATTCTAGGACAAGTGTCCTTAGTTTGTGCAACAGAAATCTCCAAATCTTGAAGTTCTGTCTTCATTTTACAGTTAATTTTTAAGTCCATCTGTCTCCTCTTACATTTTGCTATAAGCAGCAAGGAGAAATCATGCAGCCTTTCTAAGATCTTGTTAGAAATCTCCTCAGCCAGATATCCAAGTTCATCACTTACAAGTTCTACCTTCCACCAAACATTTGAACATAATTCAGGTAAGTTCTTTGTCACTGCATAAAAAGCATCACCCTTCCTCCATTGTACAATCACATGTTCATCATTTTCTTTTAAAGCCTCACCAGAAGCATATTTAACATCCACATTTCTAGCAACATTCTGTTACATGTATTCTCTAAAATGACAGAGACTCTCTGTAGCTCTCCTTACTTTGTTCTGAGCCCTCACCCAGAATTGCCTTTGACGTCCATAATTCTACAGGCTCTTCAAGGCAATCTAGCCATTTACCGTTAGGTACCTTAAACTCTTCCAGCCTCCACCCATTACGCAATTCCACATTGTAGGTATTTGTTAAAGTGATACCCACGCTCCTCGGTACCAAATTTGGTCTTAGTTATCTAGTACTGCTATAACAAATACTACAAGGGGATGGTTTTTATCAAACAGAGATTTATTTTCTTACAGTCTGAATTCAGAATGCCATCTTCTAGGGGAAGGTTTTCTCTCTCTATTGGCTCTGGACAAAAGTCCTCGTCTCTTCAGTTGCTGCTTCCCGGTTCCTCGGAGAGCTCCATGTATCTTGGCATCTGTCTAACTCTCTCTCTCCTCTGCTCCATCGTTTGTTTAATCCCTTTTACATCTCAAAAGATACTGTCTTAAGACACATCCTACACTAATCCTGATTCACTGACATAACAGACAACTCATTCCCAAATGGGATTGTAACCACAGGCATACCTACTGCCACGGAGTGGATTACAACTCACAGTGACCCTATAGGACAGAGCAAAACTACCCAATAGGATTTCCAAGGCTGTATATCTTTCTGGAAGCAGACTGCTTCATCTTTTTTTCCCAAGGAGCAGCCAGTGGGTTCAAACCACTGACCTGGTTAGCAGTTCAATGCTTCAACCACTGCGCCACCAAAGCTCCTCAACCACAGGTATAGAAGTTAGGATTTACAATACATATTTTTTGGGGACACAATTCAATCTCTATCACTGAAAGCTCCTGGAGAGTAATTCCTGGGGCCAACAGTGTGACCAGGGGAGACCCCACCCCCTCAACTCCAGGCTGCTCACTTGGACAGTGGATGATCCCTCCAGGGCTATGAGCAGGAGTGGGTGTGGAAGCTCACTCGTTGTTGTGTCAAGTCGTCTCTGACTCATAGTGACCCCTCCTTGGGTTTCTGAGGCAGTCTCTCTATGGAAGTACATTGCACAATCTTCCTTCCAAGGAGTGGCTGGTGCGTTTGAACCAGCAACCTTCTGGTTAGCGGTCAAGTGCCTTAGGCACTATGCCACCAGAGCTCCCCAATCCTGGGAGGACATCCCTGCTAACTGGCCTGGAGTCTGCTTGCGTGAATGGAAGTGGTTTCCAGCCCCACTCCCCACTCTGCTCACCTGCATCGTTTGGAGGCCTCTCTCCTCCCTTCACTCAACCCAGCCAGCGGGGCTGGGGCTCAGGTCTGGGAGATGCAAGCAGCCCTTCCGCGGATCAACACCAGACAGTAAAGATGGTGCCACCGCTGCCTCCACTTGGCTGGCTCCCTGGGCCTCCATCAGTGTGGGTTTGCAGTTTCCCTGCCCAGGCTGGGCCTGACTCCAAGGCTTTCTCCTCTCTCCAGGTGGAAGGGCTTTCGTGTTTTCTCTCTAAGGCATTTTCCCCAATCCCTAGTCTTTCTGGCTCTGGCATAAGTGGCTGTGCCACTGAGTCCATTTCCTTGGACCCCAGACTCCCCTCTGTAGAGGAGGGGGCTGGACAAGTGTTCCGAGAGGCCATTCCAGCTTGAATGCTCCAGGATTCCTTCTGCCCATTTTGAAAGATAGAGGCTATGTTAAATATCTGAGTGGGAAGAGGGTGGGGGCCATTGTTGTCCATGGTCTTGTCACCAGTTAATTGTTTCCAGACACAGCTCTGAGCATCGCTGAGAAACTCAAGGTCAGGACAAATCCAAGTGTGTGAACCTTTCTCTTCAGATATTAATTTTTCAGACAGTCGTCACTGCTGGCCCTCCTTACAGCTTGGCTCAAGCTCACACTGCCTCTTGCCATCTATCAGCAGGAAGGGTCACAGTGCAGTGGACACTCCAAAGACTTGGGTCCCCTGGCTGCTCCTCACTGCTGACTGTCATGAATCATTGGGAAGGAAGGACTCAGGGATGACGTGATGATGGACACAATGATGGCCAGCTAGGGCCTGGGCAGAACTCACCAAGCTTGGGTGCGTGGTAACTGGGATCATGCCAGCAGAGCACTGCCTCTTGGGCAAATAGGGCACCACATCAGGCCAGCCCCAGTGGCCTCCTAGGTACCCTGACTTGGATCTTTATGCACCTGCAAACCTGACGTGCAGACAGGTACAGATGAATCAAAACAACCCATGGACCCATGGAAGGTGTTGAAGAGCGGATGTACATGCAGAATGAAACTCCAGAGGAAAGGGGCTGGTGAGCTGGACCAGGCCAACACAGTTCTGAGGCCTGGGGAACTGCAGAGCTTATGGGATGTGAGGAGCAAGTCCGATCTGCCTCCAAATCCTGCTGACTATTCATTTCTACAAGAGTCTCACTGAGTCATGTTTAAGAGTTTTAAAATAGTACAAGACTTTAAAAAGACCTTGGATTGAAATAAAACACTTCTCTTGTCAGGGCACGTGGCCTGCCACTCTGTGATAGGTGGGTACGTGGGGGGATGGGGTGCATGGGAAGAGCAGGAGGGCCTGTAGGCCTGTAGTAGTGGATTCCAGAGTCCAGCGTTTGGGGAGGCAGAGACCTGGGTGTCTCTGCTGGTGGATGACTGGGGGTGGTTGGAACTGGCTCCTGTGTGGCCTCTCGTTCCTGACCGAGCATACCCACAGTGAGTGGGCACCACCAAGGAAGGTGGTGTGGGACAGCAGGCTGGCACCCAGGGAGGGCTTCCAGCCTAGCCCTGTGCCTGACTTGCTGTGTGACCCTGGACAAGGCCTCTGGGTCTTGGTCCAGCTCATAAAATGGGGATGATGGTATGTGTGTGACAAGGAATTTGAGGCCAGTTAGCATCTTGTGATTCAAAGGGGGTAGTTTGCTCACATGGGCCTCTGGGACCCATGCTTTGCTTACATCGACAGGAAGCCAAGACTGTGAATTAGGGTCCTGGGGTGAGGGGTAACTGGTCACCCCCACTCTGGTCTGGGCTCTCACAGGCCTGGGGGAGTGTGTGGTTAGGGGGGTGAAGGCCTACTCTGCATGGAACAGAGCTGAGGGGCCCTTCTATCCTGTGGGTGCTAGGATCAGGGTGGGCTATTCCCAGGCTAATCAGCAGGGACAGCTAGTTACAGCTGCTACTGCCCTCCTTCTAGCATCAAGAATGGGGCACTTTTGTCCTTGTTGTGGCCTGCAGCACCTGCCCTGCTGGCCACACATGAGAGAGAGTACAATTCTTCCCCCTTTGGGGTTGAGGAAGTCAGTAACAGACATGCTCTGTCTCTTTACAGGCCCTGGAGCTGCAGCCCCGAGGTGCTGGCCTGGCCCAGAGGTTTACAAGTAGGGCCCATCAGTCCAGAGGCTTCTAGGGGGTTGGTGTTTTTTTTTCCTAAATTTTATAATGCATGGGTGCAGTGCCTAAGGCATTTGCCTGCTAATCGGAAGGTTGGCAGTTCAAACCCACCAGGAAGATGGGCAATCTATTTCCATAAAGATTGACTGCCTTGGAAACCCAACAGGGCTTGCTATGAGTCAGAATCTACTTGATGACAGTAGGTTTGGTTTTTT